TGCCAGACCTGCTGAGCTTTTCCAGCAACTTTGTTTTTGTTCCTGATAAATTTGCTCTGCACCCTCTCCAGTGCTATCACATCCCAGCCAAAATTAGAAGAGACTGCAAGGGAAACAAGAAAGCACAGAAATTATAGACCAGTTAAGGCACAAGGCAGTTTGGCACTTTTTGATGGTATTTTAATGCAGAGAGCCTGACAGTCACGATGAGTTGAGGGCACAAATTAAACCATGGAAGTATGATGTCATTATCATTGTTGTCACTGAGACATGTTTGAGAGAAGAGCAGGCTTGGCAGTTCAATATTCCAGAATATAAGTTTTCAGGCAAAACAAAGAAGGAGGTAAATGGGGAGGTGGTGTTGCACGGTTGATTAAGGATTCAATTACAGCAGAAAGGAGGGATGACATCTTAGAAGGCTCCTCAATTGTAACTAAATGGATAAAATTTAGAAACCAGAGGGGAGCGATCACATTGCTGGGAGTGTACTGTTGACCCCCAAATGGTATATAAGAAACAGAAGAGCAACATGCAGGCAAATTTCAGAGAAGTGTAAAAGTAATAAGGTAGTGATGGTAGGAGCTTTCAACTTCCCCAACATTACCCTCACCACAATCATCTCCATGAATCTTGAGCCAAGCTCAGCAATGCCACCTGCACTGTTTCGAGTCAATTGTGTATATCGACGATAACCCATTAACATTTTTGAAAAAATTTAAAGATGAAAATACCAGACTGTTTAGATGGAGTTTATTATTACAGCTACTTAATTTGAACATTATACATGCAACGGGACAAGAGAACATAATTGCTGATGTGTAGTCATGATTTTGATGTAGGAAGACGAAGGTGTTTGGTGGTGGAAGAATTGGATTGAAGTGGACTATAGTATTGAATGTTTACATACTTAGAGTCAATGTAATGTATACGTATTGTAGTGTACTAATAACGTATAAAGGCATCTTTGTATGTTGATGGTTCTTTATTTTAAGGCAGGAGGTATGATGTAACTATGGCTTTAAGAGGCATATTTTTGTCCTCTTTTTTGAAGAGAGTTTTTGAGCCATAGATGAGAAACTATCTCATCCAAGCCAATAAAGTAAGCAGCTTATGAGGCCTTGGGTTTTGTTTTTAAGATTGTAACAATAGAAGCAAAATGAATGGGTGGGTTCAGGCTCCCGTAGAACCAAAGAATTAATTAGCTTTCAGTAGTCGTTGGGGATTTTGACAGTAGAACCTGTTAGATCTCTCTTGACCACAGCAAAAAGCTTGAATTTTCCCTCTCTCAACCAGAATTTCTCTTGGTGTTCTTTTCTCCTGGACTGAAGAAACATCGCATGTGAGACAATCTGTTTTACTGAATTTGCTTTTGCCAACAATATGTTTATGGGATATTACTATATTGAAACAGTTGCTGTTTAGTAGTTAAATAATCTATTATCCTGTTAAGTTTTCCAATAGAGTTAAAGTTATATTTATTCTTCTTTATGTAGGGTGAGAATAAAATGTGTTTTGTTTAAAGCCAAGGAGTGTAATGAATCACATTACATCTGGAACACAGCACCTTAAACTTGCCTTTAAATAAGATCAAAGTTAGGGTCGAGACTGTCCCCTTGATATATTTGAAGAGGGTTTGGTCTGGTCCATTACACTGTTCAAGTGCTCTGCTATTAAATCTTTTTGTAATGGACTCTGGCATTTTCCTCTGTAACGAGGACAAGAAAATATTTATTATGACATTACCATTTCTTTATATCTACTGTGAATTCTCCATTCTGACCTACTAAACCAACACAAAAATAAAGAAATATGTAGAGAAATTCTTGCTGAGTAAATTTGCCCTTCTTGTTAATTTCTTCCTCTCATACTGTAATTTATATTTATTGATTAATCTTGTTGGCACAAAGCATTGCTACTGTTGACATTGCTATGTTCTGAACAAGTTTTTTTAAAGTCACTCATGGGAGGTGGGCATCGGTGGCTGGGCCAGCATTTATTGCCCAATCTTGGTTGTCCTTGAGAAGGGAGTGGTGAATTGCTTTCTTGAATTGCTGCAGACCTTATGCTGTAGGTAAACCTACACAGCCCTTAAAGAAGGAATCCAGGATTTTAACCCAGTGACAGTGAACGAACGGTGATATATTTCCAAATCAGGATGGTGAGTAGCTTGGAAGGGAACTTGCAGGTGGTCATCCTGTGTATATATGTTGTTCTTGTTCTTCTAGATGAAAGTGTCCTTAACCAGCGTTGAGATTGTCATATGCTATGCAACTCACTTTAAATGATATGAGTCATCTTAACAAGGTAGGTCATATACCAATTGTTGTTCCTGTTTCTTTCTCTTCCAGACCTGGTTGCTACAGCTTTGTAGATGCCAGTTTGCAGAGATTTCCATGCTTGGTCAACATTGTCTGGATGAAGGTTGCACCTTTGTCCTGCTATTTCCAGGTGAATAGTCAGTATTGTTGTCTGCACTGTCTTAACTGCATGTGTGAAAAATTTTGGACAGATCTCATTCTCATAATTATCAGGTCAAATTGGTGCCTTGCCTGGATTTTGGATGGCACCATAACAATTTATGCTGATGTCTGCTCAAGAAGGAGATAATATAGAGTCCACTCTGTGCACAAAGTTTTGGAAGCCACTGTATATTCACTTTCAACTTGCCAACACCATGCTGACCAAGTTTTGTTTATACCATTAACCTGTGCCTAAACTAACTCCTTTGTTAAAATGTTCAAGGAGAAATAATTTTTCTCTGTGGCAACTGCTCTAGAATATCATCCAGATTGTTATGGATATGACCCTTGTCTTTGACATTGACATAGGAGATGGCTAAATAAGCAGAGATGGTGGTATCAGAATTGCCATCCGATAACGGATGAAGAGCTATGAGGCGTTCAGCAGTTGTGACAGGCATTTCAATTATCTGCATCAATTTACTGCTGACAAAAAAACTCAATCTATGATCACAGACAGCAAGTGCACTTTTGCCATGGCAGTAGAATATAAAATTGACAGTAATAATTAACCCAGTATTGGCTAGTCTAGTCTCTTAGACAGCAACAATGTTGATATTGAACGTTATACAGTTGTCTGTGAATATCCCCACTGGCTTTATGATGGAGAGAAGGCCGTTGATGAAACAAATGAAGATGTTTGGGCCTAAGCCACTACCCTAAAAGCTCCTGCAGTGATGTTCTGGAGCTCAGACAACTGATGTCCAACAACCACAAGCATCCTCCTATGTGCCAGGTATGTCTCCAACCACTGGAGGTTTCCCCCGATTCCCATTTACGTTAGTTTTGCTAAAGTTCCTTGATGCCACACTTGGCATTTGGCCTTCATATCATTACCTCTCACCTCAACTCTGAATTTCAGCTCTTTTGCCCACATTTGATCTAAAGCTGTTGTGAGGTCAGGAGCTGCATGGCCATAGCAGAACCCAAACTAAATGTTGTAAGCAGGTTACTGCTAACAAGGTGCTGCTTAATAGCACTTTTGATGACAGCTTTAGAATTATTTGAGGAAATAGCAAGCAGATTAGATGAAGAGGAAGCAGTGGATATATATTTGAATTTCCAGAAGTCATTTGATAAGATATCACATGCTAGGCTACTTAATAAGACTTAATAAGAGGTCGTATATTAACATAGATAAAGGATTGCCTAAGTAATAGATGACAGAGAGTTAGGATAAAGCAGGCATTTGCAGGATGTAACTCATGGAGTGCCATGGGGCTCAGTGCCATGGGCACAATTATTTACAATATATATTAATGACTTAGATAAGGAAAATGAAAGTACTATAGCTAATTTTGCGGACGACACAAAAATAAGTGGGAAGGCAAGTGGTGAGGATGGCACAAAGTGTCTACAGAGGGATATAGACAGGGTAAACAAGTGGGTAAACACTTGGCAGATGGAATATGATGTGGGAAAATATGATGTTATGCACTTTGGCAGGAAGAATAGAGGAGCTGAATATTATTTAAATGGAGAAAAACTGCAGAAAGCTGCAACACAGCGAAATTCTTTACCACAGAGGGCTGTAGAGGCTGAGTCATTTAGAATATTTAAGGCTGAGATAGACATATTTTTAATCAGTAAGGGAATCAATAGGGAAAAGTTGAAGGTTATCAGGTCAGCAATCAGAACTCATTAAATGGTGGAGCAGAATGGATGGGCTGCATGGCCTGCTTCTCCTACTTTTTTTTATAGAATCCCTATGGTGTGGAATCAGGCAATTCTGCCCAACAAGTCCACATCGACCCTTTGAAGAGCGTCCCACCCAGACCCATCCGCCTACTCTTTCCCTATAATCCTGCATTTCCCATGGCTAATGCAACTAACCTACACATCCCGGAACCCTAAGGGCAATTTAGCATGGCCAGTCCACCTAACTTGCACATTTTGTGCTCGTATGGTCCTAACTAATGATCGAGAAGAAACTGCTAAAGTGATAATTGGCCAATTTGGATTTGTTCTGCTTTTTATTTACAGAGCTTACGTGGATAGTTTTCCATATTGTTGGGTAGATGCCAGTGCTATACCTGTATTGGAACAGCTTGGCTAGGGGTGTAAGAAGTTTTCAGTACTATTGACTAAATGTTGTCAGAGCCCATAGCCTTTACAGTCAGTATCCATTGCCCTATGGGAGCTGTTTATCGATATCAGCTGAAGTGAATCTAATTAGTTGAAGTGAAGACTGACGTCTGTGATGCTGCGACCTCTGGATGAAGCTGAGATTAATCATCGGCCCAGAACTTTTGGCTGAACGTTATTGCAAATACTTCAACCTTAACATTTGCACAGATGTGCTGATCACCACCACTATTATTTAATGGCTGGACTCTCCCCTCATTGAGGATGAGGATATTTGCAACACCTCCTCCTTCAGTGAGGTGTTCAAATGTCCACTACTATCAAGACTAGATCTGACAGGACTGCAAGCTCAGATCTGATTGGTTGGGTGTGGAATTGCTTAACTCTGTCTGTGTGTCACTGCTTATGATGTTTGGCACGCAGGTAGTCCTGTATTGTTTCACCAGGTTGTGACTTTTTATGTCTGGTGCTGCTCCTGGTGTGTCCTCTTGCATTCTTAATTGAACCATGATATATCCCCTGGTTTTATGGTAATGGTAGAGTAAGAGATATGCCAGGCTATGAGGTCATATGTGCTGGATAAGTAATGCTAGCCTTGCAAAAATCACAGGTGCAGGAGATAATTAGGAAGGTTAATGAAACATTAAATCTTAATTCAAAGGTACGTAACAGTAGAGAAGTCTTACTGCAGTTGTACGAGGTGCTGGTGAAAACACATCTGGAGTACTCTGAGCATTTTCGTCCCCTTAATTAAGGAAAGATATTATTTCATTGGAGAAATTTCAGAGAAGGTTCATTAAAATGATCTCTGGTATGGAGGGATTGTCTCATGAGGAAAGGCTAAACAGGGTTGGGACTCTACTCACCAGAATTTAGAAGAACAAGAGGTGATCTCATTTAACTATATAAAATTCTTAAGGGGCTTGACAGAGTAAATGCTGAGAGAATGTTTCTCTTCATGGGAGAAACTAGGGCCGGGGGCATAGACTGAGAACAAAGGAGTGCCAATTTAAGACTGCATTGAGAGTCTTTGGAACCTCTTGCCATAGAGAGCTATGGGGCAGAGTCCTTGTGTATACTCAAGGCTGAGATAGATAGATAGATTCTTGATGAGTAGGGGAAACAACAGTTACAGGCAGAACACAGGAAAGTGGATGTGAGGTATGTTGGATCAGCCATGATCCTATTAAGTGGCAGAGTAGTCTTGAGGGACCGAACAGTCTACTCCTATTTGTATTACTTATGGTCGTATGGTCCTAGAGTGATCCCTGGACCTGCTCTTCAATTTTATGTCCAGAGAGGAATCAAGCACTGTTTCATTATAATCCTGCTCAAACAAGCTATATCCTCCTATTCCACCAGTGTGAAACTTTAGCTACACTGAGTTCTGAGGAAGGGTCACCAACTCAAAACGTTAACTCTGTTACTTTCTTCACAGATGCTGCCAGACCTGTTGAGCTTTTCCAGCAACTTTGTTTTTGTTCCTGATTTACAGCATCCGCAGTTCATTCCATTGAATGTTAGCTAAGTCTTTTGTGAGGGACTTTATCAAATTCGTCTTTAATTCTCTGGTCTTCCTCAGCCCCTACTTTCCAATCTATCAGAGATCCATCTCTCAGTTTCCTTTCTGTGAGAACCATGTTAATCAGTCTACTACCCTTCAATCAGACTATCAGGATCACTGCAGAGTTTTAATTAAAGAAGTGCTCTGTTCTCCTGTACTGCAGCCCTAGGAGTTTGATTAAACTACTATTAAACTACTACTGTCTTCTTCGATCATCTATCTTAATGCCATGTCTCAATTGATTGTCATACATTTGAGCATTTAAATTGTTACACATGTTTCTTTAAAATAAGTTTATTCTCTTAAATAATATAGAAAATAACATTGTGAAATAAAGTTAAAAGCTTTTTAACAGTTTAAATTAATAAATCTTATTCTTCTTCCTCTGCTTTGCGGTCCAGTGAGGAAGAGTCGACCCCCACCTCTTCATAATCCTTCTCGAGTGAGGCCATGTCTTCCCGTGCATCCTGGAACTCCCCTTCCTCCAGACCCTCCCCCACATACCAGTGGACAAAGGCTCGCTTGGCATACATCTTGTCGAATTTGAGGTTCATGCGAGTCCAAGCCAAGGAAATGGCAGTGGTGTTGCTCAGCATACAGAGGGCCCGCTGCACCTTCGCTAGGTCACCCCCCGGTACCACAGTTGGGGGCTGATAGTTAATGCCAACCTATAGTGTAAAAGGGAATAAAAAATATGCCAGATTCAACTGCACAAACAGATGCAACAACATCAGACCTGTTGGTTACAATGTAATTTTCAAGCTTAAAGTTATGAATGTGTCACTGGACAAGTATCCAGATCTGCTTGATCATTGGGCTGTTCTCCCAAATTTCAAGCTTCAGTTTCTCGTGGAATATGCACAGTGAGGCAGCATTATAGCTAATTCAGCTTTTTATTACCTCTTTCTAATGTGGCTATGATTCTGAGAAAGGCAATATTCTTTTCAGGCAATATTCACATGGCAGACTGAGGGCATCAATCAAGGACCAAAGTTCTACTCAAGTTCTACTCAGTTCTACTCAAGACTCAGACGGAGGTCCTGTTTGGTCCAGAAATAGGATGTGTTTGTTCCTGATGGTTGTGGACAGAGAATCAGCTTTTTATCTGGATAGAGTAGACATGCCTGTGCATGAGAGATGTGATCTGCATATTCCATATTTCTCCAGGGACCCATGGATTGAACACAAATCCCACACTTACCTTGAACCCAGTTGGGCACCAATCAACAAATGCGATCGAGCGCTTGGTCTTGATGGTGGCAATGGAAGCATTGACATCCTTGGGCACCACGTCTCCTCGGTACAGCATGCAGCACGCCATGTACTTGCCCTGGCGGGGATCGCATTTCACCATCTGGTTGGCTGGTTCAAAGCAGGCGTTAGTGATCTCTGCCACTGAGAGTTGCTCATGGTAAGCCTTCTCAGCGGAAATGAGAGGTGCGTAGGTCACCAGAGGGAAGTGAATGCGGGGATAGGGGACCAGGTTGGTCTGGAACTCTGTCAAGTCCACATTGAGGGCACCGTCGAACCGGAGTGATGCTGTGATGGACGACACCACCTGTGCAATGAGACGGTTGAGGTTGGTGTAGGTTGGTCTCTCAATGTCGAGATTTCGTCGACAAACATCATAAATGGCTTCATTGTCCACCATGAAGGCACAGTCGGAGTGCTCAAGGGTGCAGTGGGTGACAAGCACTGTGTTGTATGGCTCAACCACTGCAGTGGAGATCTGGGGAGCAGGGTAAATGGAAAACTCCAGCTTGGATTTCTTGCCATAGTCAACAGAGAGTCTCTCCATCAGGAGGGAAGTGAAGCCGGAACCGGTGCCACCCCCGAAACTGTGGAAGATGAGGAATCCCTGCAGCCCTGTGCACTGGTCAGCCTGTGGGCAAATAAAGGGCAGTAAATTAAAATGTAAAAAGAAGTCATCAAAGTGCAGTAGAGAACTGTATACACAGGACAGGAGAATGGAGGGGACATTGGTCCCTTGGAGGAAGACAATAACAGAGATCAGCTAGATGAGGTGTAGAGCAAGGAGTGCAAAGCAGCAGGGGTATAGAGACTTTGCTTGGAGTATTGTGTCAATGGGTGTCCCAGCCATTGTGTGTGCATGTTGATGAGAATATTGAAGTGACAGTAATAAGTGACCCAGGAGCCAATGAGTAGGATTTGTGTATGTGAATCATGTGGCCACTGATAAGGTCTCCCTTGCACAGAAACAGTGGGATATGCATAATGTGAGTGGTTAATAACGAGGTGTAGCTGGGATTGAGCACTGTCATTGTTATACAACTTACCACTTTCCGTATGCGATCCAAGACCAGATCCACAATCTCCTTGCCGATGGAGCAGTGGCCCCGGGCATAGTTGTTAGCTGCATCCTCCTTGCCAGTGATGAGCTGCTCAGGGTGAAACAGCTGTCGATATGTGCCGGTGCGGACCTCATCTGCAGGTAGGGAATACGTATTTAAAACATAGAATATTCCAGCAAATATGATGCCTTCCTGCCAAGTTGCAAGGAGTTTAATGAGAAAACTAGCTGACAATCCTATCAACAATCTCTTACCAATCACAGTGGGCTCTAGATCTATGAACACAGCACGGGGGATATGTTTTCCTGCCCCAGTCTCACTGAAGAAAGTATTGAAGGAGTCGTCTCCTCCTCCAATTGTCTTGTCACTGGGCATCTGCCCATCTGGCTGTATCCCATGCTCCAGGCAGTACAGCTCCCAGCAGGCATTACCAAGCTGCACTCCAGCCTGGCCAATATGAAGAGAAAGGCACTCACGCTAAAGAGGAGAAAGAAAATACAATTGTTTTTACTGTTTCAAATCAGTCAGTACAACAGTAAAGAGAAAGATGTGTGAGGAGCAACAGGTTCACAAACAATGAATTCACTGTGATCGCCATCTGATGAATTTGCTCTCACTTTTGCAGGCCTTCATTCAACCTTAATTTATTGTGGATCCCTTATCCTAATTTGCATGGTTCCCTGCACTATGAATTCCCACTCCCTCTTTGATATACATACTCCATAGATATGTTCTGTCCCTGCAAGATGCCTTTCATTCCTCCACATTTTCATCCCCTTCTCTCTCTTTGGCTATTGTTATTCCTTTTGAGTTTCTTTTCCTTGGGGGAATAGCTCCCTCCCAGTTGGTTATGCTTCATCTTAAATTGGTGCATTTCCTATCAACTCCCCCTGTTTCCCAGTGGCTCTCACTCTCTCGGTGAATTCCCACCCTTCCAATGTATTCACCCTCCTAATAAATTCTGTCACTCATTCTATGGATCCTGCTTTCCCTGTGGATTCATTGTCTTGATCAAAAGCCATTACCCAATGCGTTTGCCACCTCGTACCCACTCACCATGATCTTCTTCTGTTTTCGCCGTTCTTAAGAATGAACAGTTTGTTGACGTTCACCCTATTTATACCGCACTCCGTAGAATGTTCCAATCAACCGAACCGTGCTCTGATTGGCCTCCGACAATAAAAGATTATGGTTGCCTAGCGAATCAACAATAACAAACATTCACTGACGCTCGGCGCTGATTGGTTCCGCCGTTTGCGCAAAGAATCAATCAATCGCAATGATCTGTTGATGGCGGATCACTAGGCAACGTGGCTATCTTTGTTTATCAAATCTCCTTCAGTCAAACTGAAAATTAAAAATCATCCATCAATCCGTCATGGTTACATGGAAATCTCAGCAGATTAGCACTAAGTTAAAATGCTCAGGGAGCCAGTGCAAACACATGGACTGAATGGCATCCTTCAGGACTATAATAATTCTATGATTCTGAATCCATCTATTTTAATGCAACCCCAGAGATTAATCACACATCATCAAGCCAATGAAGTTCCAACAATTCTATCTCGCCACTCAAATGTTCATTAATTATTCTTCTTTTTATTCCCTTGCTGAAATGTGTACTGCTGTGATCCTGTTTTAGATGGTTGTTGAATTTGTCCTTTAGAACCTTTCCATTGTGAATTGATCTTACTTATTTTTCCTTCTCAATCTTTCAATCCAGTGATAAATGGCCAATATCCCTCTCTTCATTATCATTCACAAGTGTGGCTCAGGCCTTCTTCCATGTTTCCTGCAGCCACTTCCTGTGGACAAGGACCAGTGGCCAAGGATCCATTCAGTATAACTATCATCAAATGTGAGGTTGATGCATATCCAAGACAAAAAAATTGTGGCTGAGTTCCTCCATCTACAGAGAAAACACTGGACTTTAGCAGGTGCCCCCCTGGAACCATAAACAGGATTGTAATTAAGGGGGAAAGAGTTTTCACTAGAACTAAACCTTAGTTTCCAAAAAGATAAATATAAGAATTCATTTCATCCATCACTGCACAAATAGCCTAACTTTGTTTATTCATTGGACATCAGTAGATGACGCGAAAATCATTGATGTGGTAAATCACAATGGGGAAAAGCCTTAGGCTACAGGCCAGTATGGACAGGCTGGTCAGATGGACTAAACAGTGCCAAATGAAATTTAATCCTGATAAGTGTAAGATGATGCATTTTGCAAGGACAGAAAACTGTACACCATTTGTGCAGGTTTAAAATTTCTGTTTTTGATGGAAGACCTTTGTTTTAATGAGGCTACATTCAGGAGCTAATTCAGTTTTTAATCACATCTTCTCAAATTTTTCAATAGCTTCATCCTTATTTAAAAGCAACATTGTCCTCAGAAATCCAAGACTGCAATTAAGGTGTCAGTGCGAGAGAATTTCACCACAACTCTCAGGTGGAACTCTTCTTTGGGCAAGTGTAGGATTTATATTGTTTTATATTCTCGTCCCTGAATGTCAGAGCAGCTATTGACTAAGACTGAATGGATGAATTGATCGAGTCGGAGAGAAGATTGCCATAAGCCTTGTTTCTCTAAAGTCCGGTGAGTTGGACACAGGACCCAGAGTTACCTTCAGTCAGACAACAAACAGTAAACTGGATTGAGCATATTTTCTTGATGATGGTGATAGGCACATTAAAATTGATAACACATCTTAGTACAGCCTGGAGCATGCCGTGTATTTACTTCACCATCTGGTTGGCTGGCTCAAAGCAGGAGTCAGTGACCTCCACCACAGATGATTGCTCATGACAAGCCTCATTTACAAAATATTGAGTGTGAAGGTCACCATCAGGAAGTGCATGCAGGAATAGGGAACAAGGTTAGTTTGAAATTTAGTTATGTTCACTTTGATGGAAATGCTAAGCCAGAGTTATAGAGTCATAGAGTCATAGAGTCATAGAGATGTGTAGCATGGAAACAGACCCTTATTTGCCCTGAGATAGTAAGAACTGCCGATGCTGGAGTCAGAGACAACAGTGTGGAGCTGGAGGAACACAGCAGACCAGGCAGCATCAGAGGAAATCTGAGGAAGAGTCCCGACCTGAAACGTCAGCTTTCCTGTTCCTCTGACGCTGCCTGGCCTGCTGTGTTCCTCCAGCTCCACACTGTGTTATCTCTTATTTGGCCCTTATCCCTCTAAACCCTTCCTATTCATATACCTATCCAGATGCTTTTTAAATGTTGTAATTGTACTAGCCTCTACCACTTCCTGTGGAAGTTCATTCCATATATGGGCCACTCTGTACATGAAGAAGTGACCCTTTAGATCCCTTTTAAATCTTTCCCCTCTCATCTTAAACCCAGAAAGGAAGGAGGAGAACAATGCCCCCATCTGCATCA